AAGCAAGACGTTCTTCAGGACTGTTATGTGCCCTAAGAAGGAAAATTCCCCAAAACTTACTGCTCCGGCTGTACATCACCATTACAAGACCTACATGTACATTAGAGTACGCGGATATTGTCTGGGCTGGCCTCACTTTACGTGGCTAAAGGACTTTAGAATCTGTTCAGTACCAAACAGCCAGGCTTATCAGTGGTCACAGTGGGATCCCATACCCTTCCTACAATAGTCTCTACACAGAACTGTCTCTACCATCCCTCCAGTTTCGACGCAAGTTTCACACTGCAGTAACCATGTACAAACTGTTGAACGGTCGCTGTCCTCCACACCTGCAAAGTCTGCTACCTCGAGCGCGAGCGTCCGCCACAGAATCCCGGTATCCCTTACGGAAAAGGGAACACTTATCCATTCCTGTTTGTAGAACCACCAGATCCCAGAGAACATTTGTGATCAGAGCTATATATAAACACCCGAACTTTTTTTGTGACGTTAATGCCCGAACGGGGTCCAAATGGACCCAATTTGGTTTCTTTCAAATTTATATTCCTTTTTGCATCCTTTCAGTGACCTTTGCATATATATTGGTTTAACAATATTAAGACGTTTATTTTGACATGATTAAGTGTTTAAAGATTTCAGCTCATTATCATACTTTATGCAAAAATAGGATGAGGCCTGCAGGCGTGGACATGGGGTTGATCTTTGACCTCATATGATTGTCAAATTGTCAAACCTCTGAAAACTTAATGAAATAATTCCTGAGGTTGAAGTTACTTGGCAAACAGCATAATATTAAAGCAATAATGCTTCTTTGAAGACATATTGAGGACATCCGAACAATTTTGTGTGTAGGAAAGTGCAAATGCATGGCTGGGGTCCACTTCAGTTCTTATTTTTACAAATTTGTGCCGATCTCAAAAAAAAAAAATTAGGAGAACTTGTAGAAGAGGTTTACTGACAAAGTCACGGGGGAATTTTTGTAGAATAGAAAAAAAAATTATAGCAAATAAAATATACGCCTGGGGTCCAAATGGACCCCGTTCGGATGTTTGAGGGTTAAATATAGTGCACAACGTAATTATAGAAAATGCATGACGTCTAGGCCAGATTTCATAACCTGTTAACCCTAACGTTAGACTGCAACATCTGTAATAGTATGTTAACCTGACATGTAAATATAGTACACAATGTAACTATAGTAAACGCATGACGACTAGGCCGGATCTCATAGCTTGTTAACGTTAGACCGCAACATCTGTTATGTAATAGTATGTTTATCTGAAGTGTAACTGACACTGCTAACTGTTACCTGTTCCGAATTGTTTATGTTCTTGTTGTGAGGGCTAGACCTTTATAATAGCCTCCGGCTAGTTCGGCAGTCCAGGCTGTATACATATGCATATGTCTTATTCAGCCTAATAAATCAAATCAAATCAATTTCTATCTGTTTGAACAAATCTTTCACTTGATTACCCTGACAAATTGTATGTCTGATACCTTTACGGCATCGTAATCATAGGATAGAATTAAAAACATTTTCATTACTTAGTAATATTACTGTTTTGCACTATAATCTACAATGCGAGAGGTACATGTACATGGATTTGCAGAAAATACAGTTTCATACCATAACTAAAATAAAGTTTCTCTACATTTAGTGATATATTGGCATATTTCAAAATGGTATAGAATAATTGTGTATATATGAGACAGATCCATTAACATACAACTAACAATGCTGATTTAGAAACTTCAGAAAATCTGCACATACCTTTTTCTTACAAATTGCCATAGACTTATCAAATGATATGAATTTCGATATTCCACATAAATACTGTAACTGAAAGCAGTCTTAAACAATACATCAACTAAGATTCAGCTAAATTTAGAGCTAACTAAAGAAGGCATCAAATATTTCCCAAACACGGAAATTAATGCCATCAAAAGGACGTATTTTCCACTTCACTTTTACTGCATTCTATTATACTGGACACCTTTCTCAGCAATTCAGATAATTTTTCAAACGACAAATAAGTATCCTAAGTAAGCACCACGGGGGGTCGCAAATTGGAGCTTCTATGGCCCTGAATCTTCTCTGGTATACTATCCCTTTATTTCGGCCAATTTCTACTATTTTTCCAGCGATCCGCGGTGCCTGGTAGAGGCTAAAGCATTAAACGTCAGCTGCATAAAGAGCCCCACTTCCCGCGGTGCCTCTCCAGTTCACCTTTCTTTAAAGCTATAGAATATTCTACATTTCGAAAGAATTTAATATAATGAAGAAAGGAATCAAAGTTTAAAGAACTAGTTTATAAAGATTTTTAATTGGGGAGGGGGGGGGCAAAGTATAAATGTCCAAACATAACATTGAATCCATTTAAAGAACAAATCTTTAGTTGTTTTATGGTGATACAAAGTTTTAATTTGGTCCCAAAAAGAGATAACGTTTGGACATGCAGGTATGTTTCTTCCTCTTCATGGCAGAACGATCACAAAGGGGTGTCTATACATTTCCAAATATATAGTAGTTTGTTTGTAGGTAGAAATTTGGAAAAATCTAGTGGAAGAATCGATAGTACAATGTATTATAGATATATAAACCTGTTTCCAGGGAATAGGGCTGTCAAAGAGCCACTTTAGTTGTACATTAGGCCATGTTGATTTGATTATATGGATGACATCCGCGCGCGCATGAATTTTCGGCCGTTTCCAAAAAAAAAGTTTTCAACCATACTGTAAATCGTACAAAACAGTTGCAAAATGAGCAAATATATACCATAAGTTACAAAAAAATTAATAAAAACTATACCAATGTCGTAGAATGCCAAAATCAAACGAAAAAAGACGAAATTGTAAAGAAATGAACTTGAAGACTAGATTATTCGCCAAACCATATTCTGTTCCATTTGCTCAACCCTCATGACCACGTAGATTTCATAATGAAAAGAACTTTTTTTTTGCAAAACTTTTTTTTTTATTCGCACGCGCGCATCAGTTTTGGGGCTCCCGGAGGATGTCATCCATATAATCAAATCAACATGGCCTTATGTGAAATATCAATCAAATTATGATGTAACAAGAAGAAATTGTACATATCCTTATTAATCTTCACCTGTTTTAACCAAGAGCTGTTTTTGTTACAATGACCGTTCCTGCAAAGTGTGGCTAGTTCAATCTAATATCTGACTCGTCTACAATTGTTACAAAATATTACACAATAAAAGACTCCCACTCAAAATTTCCAGAAACAGCTTTTGCAAAAAAAAAGAATAGAAATGTAACTTTTACAAATTTCATGTAGGTCTGTGATTCTTTAAGTAGCTTAGAATATTCATCTTGTTTCTTGGCAGACAACAGCGTCAATTTTAAGCAGCGAGTGTCCACAACCAAAAATATTAAATACATATTTTAATGTACCTTGAATTCTAAGCCCCCTCCTCTATACAATATAATGTATAATATAATATAATATAATGTGTGATACATTGTATACTATTGGAGTGCTTAATTTGTAACAAATTATCTGCTATTGAACTCACCCTCCTGTCTGATTATTCTGCTGCGGGTGTCCCTGTCTTCACTCCGCACCTACAGCGGGTTTACACTGGCAAGGCTGCGCTTTCTCATGTCCGTCTTGAGACACTGGCGTCGGTGGCACAATGGTTAGAGTGTTGGACTCAAACCGAGAGGTCCCGGGTTCGATACCCACCATGGCCCGACGTTGTGCCCTTCAGAAAGGCACTTTACACGACTTCCCTACCTATACGGTGGAGTGACGCCCACCGAGCCTCTTAGGCTAATCTGTCTGTCTGTGTGCCAAAAACACACTATGGATTTGGAGCGCCGATGTGATAACATCTGCACATTGGCCACTGAGAGCCGTTAAAATTCATTACTTTATTTATTTTCTTGAGACACTCCAACCAGGTCTTCTGATGTCTTCCCCGATGTGCCCTACCAATAATAATGTACACACAGGCACACTTACATAGTCACAGGCACACCAATGTACATGTTCTTTTGTCAGGTAATAAAAATGTTCATCTTCAGAAGATGTCAGAGAGCACTGAGCTAGATTGTAATGAAATTGACAACAGTATCCACACAAAAGAAAGGGTACAATCAAATTTGTAATAGACTTACTGCAACTTTTTATATACAAAATGTACCTGGAAAACTACAGAACAAATAGTCAAGGAAATTAGCAGGACATGGAAGAAATGATATCACATAAACATAACAAACAGATAGTCCGAATCCCCCTAAAGTCTACATAAGGAGGATAATATTAGGATACTCACTCCCAAAACTGTGGATCACAGCTTGGCAAGAATACTGGAAACTATGTGAAGTAATTAAAGCAAATATTGCAACATGACCAAATCTTACAGTTCAAAAAACAAAAACAATACATAGTGTAACATTGGGGAGGACTAGTGGACTACTACTACTAGACTAAGTGTAACATTTCTATACTGTCCAGAAGTTACTCCCCTTCACTCTACATTTTATAGTACAGATATCACTAAAGATGGCAACGTGACAGCTTTGGAATGATGATTATACAAACAGGAACTGAATTTCAGTCAAAAACAACTTTATTTCAACCAAAGTATTGAATATCTGCATCATACAGTATGTATATGAACTGACAACCTTTGCTGGCTCTTCTCAATCTCCCAACTTGATCCATATTAGGCCACACCAATTTAATTTGTTGCTTCTCGGATTGCTGTGTGAATTTTTTTTCTGATCAGCAAAAAAAATTTGGTTCTAAATTAACTGCAATATGCTCAATGAAAGACATATTTTGGCCCCAATGGTTGAAGAAAGTCCTTTTCTTCCTAGTTCTTAAAGTTTTTCAATGAAACAATGCAATTTAGTTTCATTGAAAGTTTAAAATTTATTGTTTTCATTATAAACCAGCCTGGTATGTTCACTTCATGGCTCATATTGTAACATTTCCGGCTAACATGGGTTGCCTTGGCCTGTTTTTTTTTTTTCGCCCTGTCGCTTCATATTTTTTCTGAAAAAATCCCAGAAGCAACAAATTAAATTGGTGCGGCCTTATCATCATCTTACTGTCTATGTTTGAGTGGTTTCCATCGATCATACGTAACCACCACCATAATGATTCCGTACGCAAACAGACCAAACAGGAAAAACAGCATCAGTTTTAGCGGCCCGACAGAAAACATGTAAGCCAATAACAGAAAGGCTAGCAGATATCCCAGATTCTGGTAGCTTGCGAGGAACCTGAAGCTGATACGCGGCCGTGTGGAGTAGAGCGCTCGGCGCTGTGCCTGTACGGGACTGAGGCGGGTCGGAGGGGAGGCGTAGGGCGGAGACAGGTACTGGTGAGCCAGTCGGCCAATCAGGTCGTCCCTGTGATACATCGCCTGGAGATAGTCTGAAAACTAGCAGGGAAAATCAAACAATATTAGTCACAAATCTGTGAAAATTTAACTTCTCGTTGAAGAGGTTCATCAGTCACGTAGAATTATCAGTTACATGTAGTAGTATATTCCTCAATTAGTGACTCTTTTAAAAGGTAGACATGCCGGGATGAATCGCAATGAAGGTTGGGAGTTGCAGTCCTACCTACCCCTACTCCGCAAGGAGGCGGGGGAGGTCAGAAGATCCACACAAGTTTCGACCTAGTCTCGTGTTCTCGCGAGACTAGGTCACTCCGTGATCAAGATGTACAGTGGACATCAAAAATTTGGAGGTACGTGTTTCTACCTTTCAAAAAAGTCACTGATTGAGGAATATATACTACTAACTGTTAACTGTTCTCCAACTCAAAAAGGATTCCCAGGAATTTTCAACCAAAACGGTCTTCATCAGCTTAGTATCTGACCCACCTGTCTAAACTTGGGTCACATTGTTGACAAGAGATTTGGTTGAAAATTACTGTTGAGTTGATGAACAGTCTAATTTTTATTATGTAATAAACCAACTAGAAGATGAAATTTCATGCTAATCATTCAAGAATATGATCATGACAAAATTCTTACAAATTCTACAGGCATTCGAAAGATTATGATAGAGACATAGAAGATGAACTTTCATGCTAATCATTTAAGAAATTCAATATGATCATGACAAAATTCTTCCAAAATCAAGACATTCCAAATATTATGATAGAGACATAAGGCCAAACTAATGCAATCTTTTGGTTGTTAGATTTGAAAAAGAATGCTGGCCAGGGCGATCAATTGAGAGCAATATGAGTTTGAAGGGAAAGTTGCTGAACACTGTTCTCTTGGTGTCTTACTAAATTTTTATCTAAAAATACTGTGACAGTGGCCTATGGTACAAATACAATTACATTGTATTCAAATATAATCTACAAGCAGGTTCTTCATGCTATCTATAGACAATATTGTTTTGAATGGTAGACATCCAGGTAACAAAACGTTTTTTTCAGTAGCTCATATATGAGCATTGACTAGTTCTGTTACATGTAGTTCTGACAAATAATGTTGGATGTGCCTTGAAATGTCTGGAAGTAATCTCTGTAATTTATCCAGTAGTATAATTTGTACCTTTAGACAACAACATATTTGGATGAATCGATGAAGGTTAGACATCCAGGTAATACAATACGCCAAAAAACAGTTACTCAAGCAACTGGATATGATTTTGAAAACGTCAGACGTTTCAGCTAGTATCCACTAGCTTTCGTCAGTGACTGAGAGACCAGAGGGGAAATGCAGGTTTATAAGCACAAACTATTGATTGATTTGGAACTCCCAGCCCTGAGGACAGACAACACTTATAATAAGCTCCTGTTCTGCATAACAGGAGCTTTCTGACTAATTTGCATTATCTTGTCTTGACTTGTCTGACTATTGTTCCTTTTTCAACTTCCAAAAATTTGTCTTCACTTTATTTGCATATCAATCAATAGTTTGTGCTTATAAACCTGCAATTCCCCTCTGGTCTCTCAGTCACTGACGAAAGCTAGTGGATACTATTACTAGCTGAAACGTCTGACGTTTTCAAAATCATATCCAGTTGCTTGAGTAACTGCTTTTTGGCGTATATTTGGATGAAGTTTTCCACCAAACTGACTTACTCTTTGGTTCATGAGGGTCGACACCTTGTACAGTGCTCGAACCAGGGCAGGGTTTTCGTAGCTCCTGATTGGCTGCAGTTCTGGATCACCATGGTAACCAATGTCAAATCTTCTCAGTCCGTTCATCATCTGAAGAAGACAGACAGGTGTCAATTATGAATTCATATATAAACTAGAGAAGTAACATTTGCAAAGCAAATGCATAATGTTTACCTTCGGACATGGTCTGCCCTGTTAATTTAACACATTCACATACATTGTACATGTACTACGATTATATGGTGACAGGAGTAGAGCAGACTATGACATTGCAACATTATGTATCCCAACACAAGTCACCATGGTGACAGACGTCAACAAATCATGTCATTGGCCAGGTCAGAGGTTAGTGTTTGGAACAGAAGAGGAGGAAACTGAGTAAAAACAATATGTTTTCCTTCAGTAAACATAAATAATGATACGAAAACCAAACTTGGTATGGGGAGCTTTGGACACATTATTCACAGGTTTGGCATACACCACCTAACATTGTGTAAAATGCGATGTTTTTTAATATTTTAAGATAAAATGCATATTTTGGCTCCAGTGCCCTTAGAATCTTAAAACCAAATTACCTGAAGGACACTTTTACAAAAAAACTATATTGGGGTTTTTAAGTTAGAATATTTGTTTCCGACAAGACATACATGGGGTTTCGTAACACTATGAAGTACTACTAGTATATGGGGGTTTCGAGTACAATTGTTATCAATTTATAGTATTGAAACTAATGATACTGGATGGAAAAGGTTGATATGGAACAGTCCATTTTGGAATTGGGAGGGATTTAATGGACTGAAATATGCTGTATTTGCTCCCGAGCAAATGTTGGCCTTTCTAGCTATATATACATGTAGTTTGAAAAAGTTTTTCTGACCTGGTATCTGCCCCTTGGAGTGAGGACCTGTCCTGCCTCCCCCTCGGTACATTCAGGTGGTAGAGTCCGGTCTGCCTCCAGGCAGCTGCCGGCACTAGTGAGATGGGCAACTGTCTGGGTCGCTGGGGGGTCAAGCTGTAAACAAATAAACAAACAAGAAATATTTTGAGCAAATCCTCACCATTGAGCCTATGGTGGTAACAAGCATAAGCTACACCTGATCTCTTATTGTATAGAATGTTTTATTTGATTTTGTATAAGTTATTATGTCTCTGCTGCTACCTTTCAGTTATTTAAATGGCTGATCAATTTGTTATATTTATCTTTGGAATTATGATCAGTTGGACATTATGTTCTATTCAGTTATTTAAGTTATTTATACCCTAAATTTTGTGGGCACCTTTGTTGTTTACGTACAATGCTGGATTATGTTCAGATTATTTTATGCTTTTTATAGGTCGACCTCTGACCTCTCCTATTGATTTTGAAGTTACTTTATTATCTTGTAATCATTATTATGTACAAGTTTTGTTATTTATGTTTCATTTTATTAACCCCAGGAAGAATAGTGCTTTTAAGCACTAATGGGGATCGAAATAAACAAATAAACTGCTTTTTGCCGTAAATAAACAAACAGCATCAATGCAAAAAAGCCAGGGCTGGAAATACTGGGTGCATGTGCACCTTAGTGCACCCAAAATTGGAGCAGTGCACCCAATTTATTTCTGTGGGTGCACTGGTGCACCAACAGAATGTTTTGTAAATATTTCTTTTACATACTAAATCATTAGTAAATGTATAGAAGTATACATATATGTACAAGATATTCTTGGAATCTGTCAGAAAAATAATAAAATCTTTGTTGTAGTAGTTCAGTAAGGTTTTGAAGTTAGCTCCCATTTCATATTCAAGCTTAGGTTTTGTTGTGTATGGTGCACTCCAAAAATTCTTTCTGCACCCAATTTTTTAGGTTGGATGCACCAGTGCACCTATTCCCAAAAATGAATTTCGTGCCCTGGAAGCCGAATGATCCTACAATGTATGTTAGTTGTCAGTACTTCAGCCTTCACAATGTTAACTTTTAGAGCAACCAAAGTTGAAGATGAGTTTTTTTCTTACATTTACATGTAGATGTAAGAAAAAAATGTAGTGTTCCCTGTATGTTTCAGTCTTGAAATCGCTGTATCATTCTCAGTAAACTCACCCTAAACACCATACAGAGGAAGTGCATGGACTGTTCCAAGTGAACGTCCAGCTTGCGTAGATCTGCCCCTCCGAACTCCTCCCCCTCCCCCATGTTGGCTGTTGGTTCAGTCTGCCCTCCCAGACCCATCCAGGCCAGCAGGCTGGTACCGGTGTCATCCGGCTGGGACAGGGTCTGGGCGGTACGACGGGCCTGGCTCAGGATCTGTAACAGCTGCACAATCTGGGACAGACAATAAAAATTAATCTTATTATAGAGGGCCTGCAAGGGGGGGGGGGGCCGACAACACTCTAAGTTGAATTCGGAAACCTCTTGACGCTTTACGATAAATTCCAAGTGGCTACAACGCTTTAATATTACGTAGAATTAAAACGGCAAAGATGCGAAGAGCGGTCCGTACGCTCTACGTGGAATTAAAATGGCCGATTACGCTCTACGGAAAAGGGCTTACGGGCCCCCATTATATTCTGAAAGATTCTATATGCTGTCTTTGACCTATATGTACCTATTTGCGAAAGAAAAGACCAGGCCATACTTAACGGTACGGCCCAGGCTTCTATAGTATAAGTCAAATGCCTTTCACCCTAACCACGTGCACCGCTTTCCAAAATTTGAATACAGGATTCAGACGTTGGAATTGATGTTGTTGTTTTATTTTTTGGTTTAGGAACAGACACCAAATTGTCGCTTATTTTGCTTTGAAAGTCATGTTTTCTTGGGTGGGTATGACATAACTAAGATACAACACGGTGTATCCGCATCACCCTCCGTCTGAACCCTCCTGCGAGTTGGATCACCCTCTGGAGTTCGGGTGATCCAACTTGCGGTCAGGCCGGTACCTCGGGTGATACGGTATATATTGAATACAACACGGGGTATTCCGTATCGCCCGAGGTATTGGCCCGACCGTGGATCCGACTCGAGGGAGGGCCGGGACCGAGGGTGATGCAAAATACACCGTGTTGTATTTTATTTATATCATACCCACCCAAGAAAACGCGCCTTTCAATGCAAGATGAGCCAAAAGTTGGTGCCACTAAACCCTAAAATGCAATAACATCAATTCCAACGTCCTGATTCTGTATTCGAATTTTCGAAAGAGGTGCACGCGGTTAAGGCAAAATGCGTTAGAATCCTTCTATGGAAGCCATGGAAGCCCGGGCCGTACCGTAAAGTATGGCCCTGGCCAGAACCCGTCATCGAATGTTATCTCGGCCCGGGTATGATATAAAAAACATTATCAAGGCCCATGTTTATCATACATAATGTATGACATGACATGGCTCTTACCGCAGCACTGGTCTCCTCCCCAAACATGAGTTTGTACTCAAACCCTGAAGACTCCAGCTCAAGACACTGCATCCTCAGGATGGCGGCGGGGTTGGTGGTGGGCGGGGACAGGAAACTGGCGCCCTCGCCGTACAAACTGTCCCTGCCTCCATGTCTGCGGACTTGGGTCATACGTGGAACAGGTTCACACAAGTCTCCTTCACAGTCCTCTATCACCTGAGCAAGATTGGGCTGCCCGTACACCTGTGTAATACACAACACAAGCATCATTCTGTTTTGATTCTTATCATCATTGTTTGGCGCTCGAAATCAGCTATGCTGCCTGGGTGTCCAGTGTATTGTATCGTCACAATCGAATTAAAAAAAAAAAACAAGTGCTTCTGCAAAAGCTGACCATTTTCGCCGCTTACAGGCTTACAGTTTTTACGAACATTTTCCCCATCCTATCATTTCAATTTACCTAAGTTATATAAATGGTTCTAGTTCTCATCAACATTGTATATAATGAGAGAACATGCACTTCTATATTTCAACTCTTTAAGTTTAAAACATTACAAAAATCAAGTATATAACAGTTTATAACCTGTTTTCTCTCTTTTAAGAGTCTTTTTAACAGAATAAAAAAATGAGACACAAAAGTACATTTTAACTTAAATTATAAGTAACGTTAATATATATATATATATATATATTATTTTATTCAAAATCTCTTCTATGGCTTTGTCCCCAACATCTAAGTTTACAAACCTCGTGACATTCAACCAGGGCTTTAGCCAGCGCCCGTTTTACCGTCAATTGACGGTATTTTTTCCCGTCGGACGGTAAAAATTTAAGTCCTTACCGTCAACATTGACGGTCAAAAATCGTGGGTGAAGACATTAAACTTAGCAAAAAATGTAGCGAATTTGAATGAGCCACGGCGCGGGGTCTTTCCAAAGCGCGTCGCGTCTTTTCAAAACGCCGCGGGCCCACACATTTCTTATTTAAATACGGCGGGAAACCTGACTTC